GGGGGGGGGGGGGGGGGGGGGGGGGGGGGGGGGGGGGGGGGCATGGCATCTGAGGAAGCTCTTTATTTGTTTGCGTTACACCGTGCAACTGTAATGTAGGACACACACTGTTATACAACGATTGTAGAGGCAGACACACACTGATCAACATGGAAAATAACTGCAAACGCACAAAAACACACAGATTGGTGCATTTGTTTCCCACGGTGTGTGTGATGGCTCTGATTCACACAGTAACACACTGTACTAGTATAGCAGAGACTTAAACACATCCACATGCTATAGACTAGAGCCAAATGTCCTCCAACCCCAGATCAGTCCTGCAATGTAGAGGCGAACACACGCACACACGACTGCTTTTACACCGTTTCAATCACAGTAATAGGGGGAAGCAATTGAGAGGTCCAGGCAGGAGAGCTAATGATACATATCGCAAAAATAATATAAAAAATAGGTAATTAATGGAAAACAGTGGAGAGAAATGAGTGGAAAAAGAAGAAATGGACAAGAGGGGAAGGAAAAGGGCAGCAGCTGGCTCGAGTCCAGACAGCTGGTATTTAAACCCATTTCACATGTTTACCATACCGTGATACGGGACAATTAACACATGTACACACTGAGAGCTGCACACACGCAATTATGTAACCGCCACCGTCCACGGGACACGGCAGAGACGGACTGATGTGTGACGCCAATGATATCAGTTACTTTAAACTTCCATAGGTGCCAAAAAGGAAAAATCATGCAGCTGTAGAATCAGAAACAAATAATTAAATGTATAGCCAGAAACATACTTTTGGAGGGTCGGATAATGATTTGAGTTTTTCCATTATTAAACAATGAGGTGACAATGAACTGCTAAACACATTAAAACATGCAGCTACTGACATTTTATAGTCCTCAATTATTCAAGGGTTTGACAACATTTTAAAAGTTTTATTACTTTTGTACTAAATGTACGTAACTCATCATTTTCGATAATCTGCAAAAACTGTTTCCTTTCATTTCATTTCCGATAATAACCCTTAAAAAATCTCGATTGATCTTGATGGATGAAAGTATCTTCGAACCGCCGATCCTCTGATTGAATGTGTTACGTGTACCATATGTTTTAAGTTCTCTCTACTTCTGTGACTGAAATAATGTAAAGAGCTAACACACAAATGTCTCTTACAGGCCGAGTAGTACTTATAATAAACAGATGTTCACTCTGTGTGTCTTAAAGTAGAGCAGACAAATATGCAAGGGGGGGTGCAAGTGAAAGAAAGTTAGTTTGTGAAAAACAAAGAACACACTTCTAATTGGACTAATTGCTGCTAACGCTCCAGTAGTTGTCCCTGGATGTCATTAGGTTTGTAAATGTGTGTAACTGTTGGCTTTGTGGCAAACTAAAAGACAGTGTAATCACCCTGAACCGCAAGAAAAACCCATGTGGGGAAACAGGAGCGCAAAATAATCCAACAACAACAAACAAAGTGGCCTTTTGGTCTACGTTCACAGTGTCTGTTCACAGTGTCTGAGCAGTAACGACTCGACCAATCAAAGGGTCACTTTCACCGCTGATTACTGCACACACACACACACACACACATGCAGACAAAACACTGCATGCTTAAGCACACACACTAAACACACAGCCGACCAAACAAACAGACTGTACATATATGAACAGAAGAGAATATAATATCATACTGTATGTTTAGTGTAAACCAAAAATAACTACGATTTACTCGAGTACATGTGATGTGAATGCAGGGCGTTTACTTGTAGTGGAGTACTTTTCCTTAAAGGAACAGTGTGTAGGATTTAGGAGAGATTTATTGGCAGAAATGGAATATAATATTCACAACTATTTTTTGTTGATTTGTTGTGTTTAAGTTAGCTTAGAATTAGTCCTTCATATCTACATAGGGAGAGGATCCTCTTCACGGAGTCCGCCATGTCGCACCGCCATGATTCTATGGTAGCCCAGAACGGACAAACCAAACACTGGCTCTAAAGAGAGTCCTCAGTGTTTTTAGGTTACCTGAGGGCCACTGTAGTTCTCTCTGAGTAAAGGAACACTTCCATCCCCGAGTCATCACTAATCTCTTCCCTCATCTCCCATCTCGTGCTGCCCTGCTTGTTTGGGTTTTGCCAGGCTCTGGGTCGAAACAGAGACACAAAACAAACTGCTGATAAAACTGCTGTAAAAGTCTCTTATATAACTTCCGTGTGTTGACGGAATGCTACCCGCATGGGGAACTGCAGAACGATGACCCGAGGTAATGTTGTGAGGGCGGTTAAGAAGGATTTACTGTTCAAACTTTACGTCTTGGGAGCAGTTGGACTAATATTTGTGATGAGAGATGAATATCTGCCACAAATGTCAGCATTAAAATGATCTATTATCTTTAGTAGTGTTATTGTTATCCTGGCGTGCAGAGCAGAGTTTTACAGCCCTGAGGTCTAAAGACTCTTTCAGAGGACTTTCTACCCTCAAAAGAAGGAAATCCTGATGAAAACACTCGGTAGAGCCGCTTGGAATTTCTTGGCATGAGAATAGCCAGATTTAAAGACCGTGTCCAATAAATCGGCTTCCAATAAATCGTCCAATAAATCGGCTTCAATACAAAAAAACACTGGTATCAGCAAAGAAAACACATGAATACTCTCTCGTTCATTTGCCACGTGTAATACCAAAGATTTCATCTGCTTTAAGGTCTGATAAGTTACAATATTTTTGTCCATTTATCCTTTTATGCACTAAATGACTTTGAAATTGAATAGAAAGACATTTCAGTACAGAAATATCAATGACATGTTTGAAGAAGTTGAAAAGAAGTGACGTTGTAACAGTTTGTCCATTAGATTGGTCTCAATTCTTTAAAAAACTAAAAGTGTTTATCGCTATGGGACTTAAAAATCCTTTACTACTTTATTGATGTCGTTCTGTTATTATAAGTTGTTAAGGAAACTCCTTCTTGACTCACTTTCCCTGTCGAGCCTCACTGATTGTTTCAGAACAGACGTTTCTGTTTGTGGAGATGGTTGTGATAATAGCATAAACTCTGAAACACCGAATCAGCCGTGTCCGTTCACACCTTCATCAACACATCAGCGCCGACATCAACCCTTGAATCAATATCTACATCTCTTGTGTTTGTTATGAACAGGAAAATAAGCCGTTGATCTGAGCTGACAGAAATACAGACGAAGCAGGAGAGAGAAAGGCGATCCCTCCCTCACCACCCCTCCTTTTGTCTGTTATTAAGACGACTGTCAACACAAAGTGAACAAGCTCTTTCGTCCGTAAGTATCGAGCCTTATAGTCTTCCTCAGAACAAGTGGGAAGGCCGCCCATTGGGGTGTGATTGCTCCGTGATAAATATCAGAACAAGTGAGAGAAATGTCAGAATGTCAAAACAAGGCGGAGTGAAGGAAGTGTGGTGCTTTAGTATCACATCATCAAGGCTTAAAACAAGCTTATTACACATTATTGGAAATAAAAGCGTTGATATTTTCTTGAAAGTACCTGTAGACCTGATAGTAAATGTTTTGTTTAATCGTAAACAAACTCTAAAAACCTTTACACACAGGGGGGGGGGGTTCTAAAAATATATTTTTTCAAATCTATTCAAACCTTTTATTTAAAAAGTATTGCAACTGTTGCAAATTCACATCTCTGCCTTTATAAATAGTTTTGATCCAAAATATCTGCAGAGGGGTATTTAGCATTTTGTTGCCGTGAATTCGCCCCCGTCATAATGACCCAGTGCTCCTGTCTTACCACATGGTTGGTGCGGTCTCTGATGGGCTGGTAGCCCGGTGCAGGAACACACTGCTCGGCGTGTCCGTTACAGAAGCAGCTTCCCTTCACGATCAGGTCGTAGATAGCAAAGTGGCGGGTGGGAGGAGCTTCGTGTGTGGAGGCGAGGTCTTTGGCCTGGCAGGGACACGACTGCCTCTTCAGCAGTCTGATCCGGATGTTGGTCACCCTCAGCTGCTGCTGGCCCTCCACCCCGAACGGATCCAGGGACTCCCACTTTGGGAGGGTGCGGTAGATCACCTGTTTGGACAGAGAAAGAGAGATCTTTTTATAATTTATTTTTCCTTATTCAAGGAAACGCCTGATTGGAGGAATGTGCCACTCGCTGCTTGGACTGTCAGCAGTCTTTTCTTCTGATGTTTAAACTGAAATTTTAATTATTCATTTATTGGTCATTTTGAAGTAAGAATTTAGCGATGTAGTTGCAGAAGAGTGCAATTCATTAGAGGTCTCGTGTGCAGGATTTGGCTAATTCTACACTAAAGAAAAGATACGTATTAATGTTATATTCCAATAGATCCCCCTAAATGCTGCAGCCTGGACCTTTTAAGTTTGTGACTGGTCCACATTCAAGCTGCCAGGCTTGATGGATTCTCTGGAGATGTTTCCAGGCAATGGAATGTTTAACAAAAACTGAGTTTGCAGCATTGACTGGCCCTGGAAAGCTATATTTTAATGGCCAGATGCATCAAACTTTATACGATACAGTTTCCCTCATCCTTGATTTACTTTATTCCTTTAAATACGGAAAACAATAATCAAATTCTTAACAGCAGAAAAAACCTGTTCTCTCTTGCAGCCCCATGATTTAGACGGATTAGCGTATTCAGTGGCACAATCAGGTTCATTGATGCTTCTTGTATCACTACATCTGTCACGTTAACGAGGGTTTGTTTTGGTATCATTTGTGCACCAAACTATGACCTTTACACCCCGTCGTCTTTGACTACGTCCTCACGTGTGGGTGTCCTTAAATGAGTGAACCCAACCTTTCTCCCTCTCCATGTCTGGTCCCTGGACATCCTTCAAATCGAAGATCCCTTCATGGGCGGCCTGCCATCGCTGAGCCTATCGCTGCCACTAGCAACCAACACTACTGCTGTTGTCGGGGTGAAAGAGTGGTGTCTCCCACAACTCTCGCTGTGAAAGAAATGTGTGTAGTGTGTCTCTTTACAAAGTGTGTGTTGTTGTCGCTGGCCATCATTGATATCATTGGACGAGTAGTGTGTGTGTGTGTGTGTGTTTTATGTGTGTGTGTTTTCATTGGTTGACGCAAGACAAGAGCAAAAAAAGCCCCCATGTGGCTCCCTCATTGGCTGGATGACTGGCCGAGAGTGTGATGGGAGGAACGCTATTAATTTCCCTGTTGTTGGAAAAGGTCGCGGGGTCACTGCATTGTGGTCCACAATTAAGAGAACACGGCAAATAGGACGAGGGGCGCCGGTCCGCGGGAGAGCACGGAGAGCAGGGCCAAACAAAGACGGGGACGGAGATCCAGCTTCACATAACTCAGGGCCGGACAAAAGGCCCGCGACAGCCCGGTGACACCACAGCAACACCAGCACACACACACACACACACACACTGGCATGCACATAGACATCGGTTTTTGCTTTCCTTTACACAACACAAATTCCTCACCAGGCCTGCTTGGAGATCTCACTACAAAATAATGCGTCGTAGTTTTCCTGTAAATCTGGAGACAGAATATTGGTGTTCGCAAATACGCTGATGACACCCACATTTATGTTAATTTGAACAGCGAGTAAATGTAAGACTCCCCAAGAGTCCTTAATGGGTTTTATGTAGCCAAGCAATATGAAAACAAGTTTAGCTAATCTAGGAATTTATCAGTGTTTATTTTAAGGGTTAAAAGTAAGAATGTCATAACAAAATCAAAATGAAAATCTATCGTTTTGCTCAAAAGACTAAACTAATAATACGGTGCACATTCAGCTGTTTATTTGTGTTGTCTTCCCCTTATTTTCGCTTCTCTTTTTACTACACAAAGCGTGCTCTGAGTTAAAAGACTTTTTTTTTTTCTTTCAAATGACAGCAAATAAGAGTCCTCTTGCAGCAGAAAACATAACTTTTTGATCTTAAACTCTACAAGGTTGCACATGTACAAGTGACCCTACAAAAACAGGAAAGAATAAGACTGATAGCTAGCAGAACATGATGAATGACAAAATACTTTTTTTGGGCTCCAAGTACACACCATGTGTTTTGGTGAGAATCACTGAGGATAAACATTTTTACTGGCACTTGTTTAGGAGGGTTCCCACAGTGAACCTTCAACTGTAATTGAATATACATGTGCAGATTGAAAGGCTATTTTAAGCTATTGCTGCTGTGTCTATTGTGGAATCTGTCCACCTGCGTCCTGAGGCAATGGGTTCACTGTGGGCCATGTGTCCACTTCAGGCTGAAAAATAAAGTAAGTCTGGCTTAAACAGGAGTAATTCCATCAAAGCACTGTGGACTGTAATCTGGTAAACAGGCACAATGGGCATTGATGGAAGGAGAAATACGGAGAGGGGGGGATGGGTGTCTAGCCAACAGTACCAACATCCATCAGAGCAACGGCACTTCCTTCCCAGCAGACAGACGGAAAGCCGACTGTATGTGTTTATCTGAAAGGGCACGGAGTGTGTATGTGTGTGTGTGTGTTCGAGGAACTGTGAAAAAGAGAGAATATGTGTGTTGGCTGGTCTGCCTCACTCTCTTCCCTAAGGAGGTCAGTCTCTACAACAAACTCTCACATTCTTCCAGCCCAGCTGACCTCATAAATAAGATAAGAAACCCAGCACGCACACATGCACACACACAGACACACACACACACACACCACTTTTTCCGCACATTACAGGTGAACACAAAAAGCTTTCAGCGTACCATTTGTCTTACTTTGAAGGAGTGGAGGGTCATTTTTCTGAAAATGATCACAAGGCTGGAACTAAAAGATTATTTTTATTCTAGATTTAATATGTCGATGACTCCAATTAATCAATAAGTTGTTTGGTGTATAATATGTTGACATATGTCTTATATTACAAGTATGTCTTCCAGATGGATTCTTTTGTTTAAGGGACGTTGCAAAATAAAAATAAATTCTATTTACAATAAAAAGCAGCAAATCCTCATAACTGAGAAGCAGACACCAGGCTTTTGTTGAGTCTGTTCAGTGCTAAGTTATAGTAAGTTTGATGTAAATTAGTTTGTTTACATGTATTATTGGTTTTCTCAAAGATTTAGATTTCAATTGACACTTTCTTTGTTTCCATGTTCATATACTTTCGCCATGTCAACTGAGCGAACTCCATCCGCTGATGAATGCCACAAGACGCAGCCGAAAGCTCTATCATTTTAAACGCTCAGCATATTTGTACATGAAACACAGAGGAAAAGGGGAACTACATCCCTGAGACTCATACAAAGTGCAGAGTGAAAGGCTTTGTTGTCATCACTTTGCACAGACCACAGACTGTTAAACTGTCATTATAGCTGCTGTACAATCACAACAAAAACACACAGGAGCAGAGAGAGTGCGAACAGCTGAGCAGCAGCAGCTGCAGGTCTGTCAGACCGCTACTTGACCTCTTTTAATCTCTGGGTCATCGGTTAAGGGGTTAGAGGTCAGAGGTCACGTTCCCAGCACAGGTGGCTGAGACGTGCACAAACCAAAATGTGAAGCACAGAGTCGGAGAGAGAGAGAGAGAGACGGAAGAGAAAAGAAGCCATTTTTTCACACCCTCGAGCAAAAAAGGTGGAGAGAAAATCATGTAAAACGAAAATGCACATAAGCAGAAGTACATAAAGAAAAGATGTATGATACAGCACCAGAATGAGGCCACTGACAGCTGAATACTTGGAAGGAGTCGTAGAAGAGAAGGCCCCTCAAAAAGAGGGCGTAGACACACATCACATATGAGAGCGCTGCAGGGAGTCCGGAGCAGCGCCACGCTTGGCATGTGCCTCCGCACACATCTGCAGATCAGCTCCCCACACACACTGCTTCAATTAAACATCAATGGGCTTCAGGAAGCCCTCTCGTGCTACAGTCAAAGTATGGCTATTAAACACTCACTCACTCACACACACACACACAAAGCTTCCCCCACCTGGCTGAGCTCTGCTTTCATTCTGCTCAGCCGGTATGACTGTATGTCTTCTCGCATGTTGCGTGACTTACAGCGGACAGGACTGAATTTGCTCCAGTAGGATGGGTAATGATACACTTTAAGTCATTTGTTTAGAAAAGAATGAGCGCACTGGCTTGTATTATAATTATGATTATGATATGACATAATTAACAATTCATTCATAGAGGGAGAAAAAAAGCTGAGCAGGAAACTCTCAGTCACCCCCCTCCACTGCAGGTGTGTATCCGCACCTCCTTTCCACCTGCGTCAACCTGCTTTGACGAGAAATGGTGGGAAATCAACCAAGACTTGATGCAAATCTGATCAACCAACGCACATCTGGCGACGTCGTCGTCACTACGGTCAATTACATTCAGAGGAAACTGTTGTTTGAGAGAGAGAAACGTCACTGTGTGTACTTGACACTGAAACTGAATTCAACATGTAGTTAATATAATATGTCACTCATTACTTTTATCAACAACAAAGTGCTGCTCTGTTTCTGTCACAACCCTGAAACCTGCATCAGCGGATCTTTTGGTCATTTGGGGGGTAAATATCTGAGGAAAACATCTGGCTTTGTTGCCGCTAAATGCTCCACTACGTCCACCAGCTAGTTGCTAACTTTTTCTGTCTGTCTGTATTGATGCTGGGAACATGTGGTGCATGTGCAAACTGCTTAAAAGGAGCTGCTCATGTTGCTGGAAATGATGCTGATGAGAGCTGTGAGAATGAACCGAAACAATGAGCGTAAAGAAGCTCAAATGCTCCGTAGAGCTGTGGTTTGTTGCTATGAGCCACATCGGTCACATGCAGTGATTTAGAACAGTAACAGACACACGGCTCCGTCCTCACCTCTCCACGGTTGCAGGGATAAGCCCCGGAGTATTTGGCGGTGCAGGCGGCCCCGTCCCGGCCCACGCCTGCTGCCTTTCCCTCCTCCACCCCGAAGGCGGCGCTGCAGTTGCCGGCGTAGTACTGCAGCATCTTCCACGATCTCCCAAAGTCCTGCGACCGCTCCAGGGTCATGGCGGCCGGCCTCGGCGAGCGAAACACCATGATGAGATGCGTGAAGTAGAACTCTGCCTCCAGGTCCAGCTGCACCGTCTCGGACTCCACCCCTTCAGCAGACTGCCACCAGGTGTTGGGGTGACGGAAGGAGGAGTCTGACATGGCCCCGGCCAGGTGGGACAGGAGGGGCAGGCCGGCGTTGCATTTGGCGCACTTGGCGGCGTCGCAGGCCAGGTTGGCGTTGGGGTCGGAGTACGAGCAGTAGAGCTCGGTGCCGTTGTTGCCACAGACGGTCTGCGTCAGGACCCGGCGACCCAGGGCTAAGTTACCCATACGGGGGTTGCAGGCCCGGCTCTCACAGCGAGGAGCCACACCGGCACGAAACACCTCCACCGACAGACCTGCATGGAAGAGAGAGAGGAACAAATGAGTTTACATGTGTACTATAAGGTGACTAAACTGCTTTCTAGAGAAAAGAATATGTCCGCTGGGTGTGACACTCATTATACCTTAGCTTAAAGGGTCAGTTCACCCAAATCACACACCTCCAGTACCATTTATCCATGCTAGATTTCTGTCTCTTGAGGTTTCTGCCTTCACCCCAGTACAATGAAGGTAAATGAAATACACAGCTTTGGGGCATTAAAATAGAACCAAAATCACATACTGGATAAGTCACCGGGACTATTTCTTCGATAGGATGCAGGAAGGAGGCAGAGAAAGATAGACTACAGATAAGTAGTAACTTATTGTTAATTTACTTTTTTAACTCCAAAAGTCCCGATTTTAACTTCTTTAATAAGCAGGTTTGGAGGTTTTAGAGAGTTTAGTGAACAGACAAATCTGAATCTAAGTAACAGAGTATGCGAGAGAGTCTGTGGGCGAGCTGAGAATAATAGTGACTCAATGTGTGTGTGTACACAGGCCAAGTGATTTACCTCGATGGGAAATGTTATGCAAAAGGCATAATAGAGGCATTGTGCACCTGCCTGCAGCCAGCGTGGACTCTAACACAGACAAAGTTTGGCAGCTCGTGTAGGATGAGCAGCATTCAGACGCCTTCCAGACGCTCTCCAACCCCCCCGAGGGCCACAGTGTCATCTTCCAACGCGGATTTATTATCCAGAACCTGGAGCTCACTTTGTTTTTCCAACGTCAGTGACTTCACAGATAGACTCGTATTAAACCTCAGGGCCTGGATCAGTGAACTTTTGCACTGAGGGATCTTTTTTGGTGTGATGTTCTTTTGTTAGAGTGGAGTTCATGCTGAATTACATAACTGTCTGTATGTGGCAAGGTCATGAGGGGAAGACTGAAACCTTTTAGACTGAATAACCTTTAATTTGGTGCTAATTAATAGGACATAAACGAATAAACAAGAGTTAATTATGTTATATTAAACTTAGATATACATAATCTGGACGCTGTTAATCTATAAAGATAAATCACAAACTCTGACGTTTCTAATATGAAACTTCCATCCAAATCTGTGCAACAATAAGGCTCAGACATATCCTCCACTGCTCTGTCTCCTCGAGGTTTACATGGAGACTTGAGTTTGATAATTTAGTTTTTGATATCGCATATTACCGTTTTATAGATGAGGGCTCAGGTGTTTAATACACCGCAGATGAAACTCTTCCAGTCAAGAGATTAAATTGCCTAAAAATCCAGGCGAGTTCTGCATTGCTGCACTTCTCCCTTCACATTGTTGAATTAGTGACAATAACTCATGAGGATGTTTGATGTAAAAAACAACAACATACTAACCTGCATTTGACAACACGGTCAGGCTGATAGCAAATAAAATCATCATATCTCCGTGTTTAAAGGAATAATCCGAGATATGCGAAGAAGAAGAGGGAGAAAATCCGTGGAGTTATTCGGACATCAAGTACGCGAAGATTTCATCCGCGGTGGCAAGTGCGTAGCTTTCAAATCCAGTGTGGACTTTCTCTTTCACTCAGCTGCGATCCAATAAGCCGATAACAACTCGTGAAGAAGCGACATGGTCCCGGACGGTGTGCGATGTCCCGCTGAGAGAGAAGAGGACCGATGGTGAAGTGAACGGGTCTGCTCAGCTCGTCTGCTGCTTCGGGACGCGCAGCGTGTTTCATTTCCCCGCAGTGTGCGCCTGTTCTGCACCCGCTCTGCCCCGCAGATCTATTTCTAAGGAGCTGCAGAGAGAGAGAGACGGAGAGGTTGTGTAGTGAGAGCAGCAGCTCCGCCTCTCCTCCGCAGCTTTCTTCTCGCATTTAAAGGAACATTCCAGTTTGTGCGCGGCGCTTCTGACTTGGAGAGAGTCCACAACCTGCTCCTGAGGGGGGTCCCAACATGAGGGTCCACGAGGAGCCTCCAGGGGACCCTTTGTGAAGACTTCAGGGACAACAAGATGAAAGGTGTCTAATGAGAAGGTTTTACTAACCCAACAGCAGAGACTAAACCTCTTCTTTAAGTATCTGGTGGAGCAGGAAGAAGTACTTCAGTAAAAGTAGCAATACTACAGTGTAAAATACTCAATTACGTTCTGCATAATGAGTACTTGTGCTTTTGGTACATTTTATTAATATGTTTTATATGAAAAATCTTAATTTTAAAAACAACTATGTACTCTTAGCCTAAATGTAGTGACGTAAAAAGTACAATATTTGCCTCTGAAATGTAAAGTATAAGTATAAAGTAGCATCAAATGTAAATATTTAAGTATCCTAAAGTATGAATACCCTTAAAATTGTACTAATGCCACTTAAGTAAATGTACCTAGTAACTTTAAATCACTGTAAAAGTACCGGCATCAAAATATACATAAAGTACCCAAAGCAAAAGTACTCATTACACTAAATGGCCCAATCTAGAATATATTAAATGTAGTGGAGTAAAAAAGTACAAGATACAAGATATGGTTCTTAATTCAGATGATAACGTACCTAGAAATTGTAGTGCAATACTTACTGATCTGAGACAAAACTTCCTGTCACATAAAGTTGTGGAAGAAGTATTCAGATTGTTTACAACAATGCAAACGTCCTCTAAAGATAAAGTTCTTCATTCAGAGTCTTACTTAAGTAAAAGTGCAGAAATATTATCAGCAGCATGTATTTAAAGTTTCAAAGTAAAAGTCCTGTTTCTGCAGAAAAATGGCCCCTATGAGTTCAATATTATTACACGTTACTTTATTATTAGTGAAGCATCGATGCTGAATGTTTAGAGAATCTTAACACTTAACACTTTAGTTTACTCATTTTATAAACTGGTTATACTGGTCTGTATGTTCGTCAGTGTGATAAATATTGAGAAATATATCTAGCGGACACAAAAGAAACTATATTTATCTACACAAATATTCAAGTACTCTCCACCTCTATCATATTAATACTATAGGTGTCCATGACAGGTACAGACCACGTGGACTCTGATGAAGAGCTGATGTGGGCTCTTAATGAGTGCTCACATTTCTGACTAATTGGCTTTGGATGGAGGGAGCACACACACACACACACACACACACACACACGCACACAGTAATGCTGCTGACGTACTTCAGATTATACCGATTGGTTGGTCGGCTGCAGCCTTTGTTGACAACATTGTTGGTGTCCACACAAAACCAGTGAAATATGCACCAATAAATTGCAAGCTTTTTGATTCCGGTTCTGCGTTCCACATGGCCGCCTGCTACCAACAATGGCTGCTTGATATCCTGTAAATAGAATAGAGGGAGATAAAGACATTCACATATGAAAAATAAAAGCTTTAAACTACCACAACACCAGCCTGCATGACCAACAGCAGACGACACTGTGCAGGCTGCAGTGTGCCCCCCTGTGCTCTGTAACGGTACAGAACGAAAACATGGATGTTGGAAAAGTGTTGTCTCCACTCCGGCCCGTTCGGGTCGAGCTCCACTGAACACAGCATGGCTTTGGCTCCTCTGTCTGCTGTGTAATCGGACCGTGACCTGCTTTCTGTGCGTCTGACCTGTGTCCAACAAGCAGTGAGCCAAATGAAACTATCTCACCTGTTCGCTCTGTGAAGAAGAAAACTAGCATCTTAAACTCCTTTAAACTTCCTGTTTCCAGTCTTTATGCTAAGCTAAGCTAACAGCCTTCTGGCTGTAGCTTCACATAGTCATCTTATCTAACTCTTGGCAAGAAGGGGGATAAACCAGGTCTTTACTAAATCGTCTGTTAAAAACACTGGATTTGTGAGTCTCATGCTTCACACTTCCTGCAGTTCGTCCACTCCAATCGGTTAACTTCAGTCTCTCAGCTCTCCTCTGCAGACTTCAAAGAGCTTGTTGGCATCAGACTGGAATGATCCGACTGGCCTCTCCAACAAAGCCTCCTTCCTCCTCATTGTGGTCGTATGCCGTCTGTGATGACTTTGTGTTTCTCTGTGGACGTTTTTTTTGTCTCTTGTGTGGTCACGTTTCATCGCCTTGTGGTGGTTTTGTGTCTCTTTTGTTCTTTTGCATCTCTATGTGGACACTTTTGTGTTTTTTTGTTGTCATTTTGCATCTCTTTGTGATCATTTTGTGTGTTTGAGGTCTCTTTCCATCTCTTTGAGGTTGTTTTGTGTGTCTGTAGTTGTTTTGCATCTTGTGTTCATTTTTCATTTATTTAAAGTTGTTTTGTGCCTTTGTTGTCGATTTTCAGCTCTTTATGGATGTTCTTCATCTCCTCATCAGTGCTTTTGGTCTGTTTGTGATTGTTTTGTGTCTGTTTGCAGTTGTTTTTTGGCTCTAACTGATCGTTTTTCATTTCTTTTAGGTTATTTTGCAAGTCTGTGGTCATTTTGCATCTCGTTGCGGTCATTTTTATTCTTCTTATATTTATATTTTTGTGTTTATTTGTATTTGTCTTGTGGCCAGTGCTACTCTTGGCCCATGCTCTAGCCGTGCCCCTGCTCTCAACATTCACACACACACACACGTTGTTATCATGCTATACCTGACACGGTGACTGACTGATGGATTGGTTAATTACACGGAGACCGACTCGAAGAAAAATAGGCTAAATGATGTAAGGACATGAGTATTTCAAACATGCAAAGAAAACTCTAGAGCAATTTCAGAGGAATTTTCTGACAGAACCCAGCCCTTCACTGTAGGAAGTCAGATGTTAGTTTTATTCGTATCAGGTTTGAACTTGTTGGAGGCTTTAGTAACAGTTGAATGCTTCAACACAGAAAAAAGAGTGAAATCTTCAGACTGTTTATGCCTGGAGAGAAATAGCTTCCCAGACAGAGAGCCAGCACGACCCAGTAATGACACTCATTTCTCCTAAACTGGTTAGAGTTTATAATTATTGAATAATCCTTTGGCGAGGTGTGAAATATTCAATAGAGTAGGTCCTGCACATACAGTACAGTTCAACTCAGGTCAGATAGAGAGATTAACAACGATGCTGGATATAGTTCAGACAAAAGTAACATGACTTTATTTGCTTTGGACTTAACCTCAACCTTAGACTTAATATATTTTAAAAGAATGTCATTTTTAACAGCACTTTGATGCCAACCATGATGCAAGAGGGAATAACACACCTCATAAAGTATAAATATACTGTATAATCACTTTAAACTAACTTTTGAGGATTAAAGATTCATTCTCAGTTGTTACATTTAGAAATTAAACTTTCTTTTTATTGGATTATATTTTTATAAATTTGATGTTTGAACTGTTGGTTGAACAAAACAAAGATGGTGAAGGTGTCGCTCTGGGTAATTGTGACAATAATTCTCACTATATTCAAAACTTTTACAAACCAAAGAATCAATCGATTAATTAAGAAGAAAAATAGCAGATTAATCCATAATGAAAATAAAAAATATATATTATATTTTTTTGATCATTTAAGAATTTAGAAGGTGGACTTTTCCTTTAAATGGAGCATTTTTAATCAAAACAAAGTTTTTTCCGGTGATTCACGTTGCAGTGTACACTCATCACCACCAGGGGGCAGTATGCAGAAACCAGAAGACTACTCGGAGGTCAAAGGTTTTACTTCCGGTTCGGCGGTAAAGCGTGTGTGCTGCTTAGCGAAGTACAAACGTTTCTGTGACGAAAATATATCAACTTTATTCCTTCTCAGAAAGCATTTAGTACAACCTAAATGGTGAGTACATATTACTAATGTTTACCATCAACTCAATAGATGTGTTGTGCGATATTTCGTCGCCGTGTAAAGATAGTAGCTTGTTAGCTAGTTAGCATTAGCTGTGTTAGCTTCTCATTCATGCTTTGGGATGAATGAATCCCTCACTTTTACGCACACAGGCAGTGTAGTAACGCAATATATAAGGACTTAAACAGTAGTTAGGTAGGTTTAAATCGTCTGCTCAATGGCACAGGTCCGTTTACAAGTGGACTTATGCGGCCTTGTGTTTGAGTTTGGCCCGATGTCTGTGGAGACAAAGTCGCACCAAACTCCATTCCAAAAACTCATATAGCGATGTCATCCACTTGCTTAATGGCAAACTTTACGTTTTATACTTAATAGAACATGCTCCACGTAGACTACTACTGGTTTTATTTATTTATTATTTACCCGTAAAGACACTTGCTTGCATAGGTTATTTCCTGTAAACACTATGAACAAAACAGTGCAAACATTGCTTTTAAGTTGGACACACATCAAATCACAACACAGCAGCAAACATCAGAGTTGTTTTATGTTCAAAACGTATTTTAAAGTACTAACTTAGAAAATATTTTGTGCCGAATTTACTATTATATCACCACATACCAGAAAAAGGCACCAAATGCCTGTTTTCATTTGAAGTGTTGGTGATATGTAAAGACACGATTTGACAAGATTATTTCCAACAATAGGTAAAACCCTGGATAATGTTTGCGAATCATCACAATAATAATTGTGTAGTTATCTTACATAGTCGCAGGGTAATTTAGTAAACCTTGTATAATAACCTGCCTCGTCTCTTCTTCTCCCTAGAGTTTACCTCTGAACCCAAAGCCTTTCCTCAATGGCCTGACAGGCAAACCAGTGATGGTGAAGCTGAAGTGGGGGATGGAGTACAAGGGTTACCTGGTGTCTGTGGACGGGTACATGAATATGCAGGTGAGCATAGTTAACTGTACTGTGTGTCTTGTTCTGATATAAATGTAGTTAATCATAACCGATATGTAGACCTGTCACCGTAGCTATGTTATTGACTTAGATTTATGTTTTATTTATTCACAATAATTTAAAATGCATTTCCCAAACAAGCGTCGTCCTTCGTATTTTTGCCGACGTCATGATTGCTGATTGATAGTCCCTTAAAGATGGCGTCGTGACCTTTTTGTATTTGCACGTTTCCCTGACAGCTGGCTAACACAGAAGAGTATGTTGACGGGGCGTTGGCGGGTCATCTTGGTGAAGTGCTGGTCAGGTATGTTGTAAACCTAAAACATCTTTATTCCATAACTAGTTCAGTTAAAGCTTGTTAATTTCTTAATTCTACATTTACTGATATTCAACAAAGTTATGTTAAGTAAGATACGGATGTTTTTTAAGGGGAAATAAGCAACTAAATAATCACGTTTCAGCTAAACAATACAGAAAAAGTTAGTTTTTTGCTCAATCCTTAAGATTTCTAACTGCCTCAACTAACTTGTGTTAATATTTAACTTGTCAAAGCAAAAGGAGCACGACACATCAATCCATTATGCTTCTGTCTGTGCTAACTGGTGTGTTTCATTCCCACAGGTGCAATAATGTTTTGTACATCAGAGGCGTAGAAGAAGAGGAGGAAGACGGAGAAATGAGGGAGTGATGGTGAAGAGGACTCAGCCCTGTTGTGTGATTGAGTAGTTGAGTTGATGTGTGTTTGTGTTTTCACCATGTGAAACAAATGAATGTTTGGGGTTTAGGTTATTTTTCAAGCAGTTTTTTTTTTTTTTTTACTTTACTGTATGTGAGGCCAATTTTATGTTGTGACTTTGTTATACAGACTCAATAAAATGATTATCGTACCCTTTCCTAAACCGGATTGTTGTTTTTTTTGCATGTGATATAACAGGAGTAGTATATGTAATTATTATAGGTTGTCTGTGGCAGAAGCACCCCCCCTCTCTCTCGCTCTCGCTCTCTCTCTCTCTCTCGCTCGCTCTGTGTGTGCACTTTAAACTCTTCTCCTGGGCAAATATTTGCCTGATCCCAAACCGCTTTAAAGCCAGTGACTCTGAAGTTAGTGGTCTCTGCTTTGGATGAATCAAAATGTCCAGAAGTTACAGACTACTGGTGAAGAACGCCCAACAGGTGGTTCTGATCTGCAACAACGGAGAGAAGTTCATCACCAAACATGGGATGCAAAATCTGTGTGTGATTGAAAACGGCAGCGTAGTGATAGGGAGGTAAGTTTTCTCACTAACAGGCATTTGAGATTACTTCGTACCATGTGACGAGCATGAGGGGACTCTTTGTTGAATGTATGAGATGGTGCAGAATGTGACAAAAACAGCTTTAGTTTATCTGTGCAGCTGCTCTTCTTACCTGCACACTGAATCTCAGCACAGCTATTGTTGATCTGCAGGTTTTTTTTGTAAAACTTAAAGAAAGGGAATTTAAAAATGTAACATGACGCACATTGGTGCCACCTACTAGCTGTAGTTGCTCATTTCATATGAGAAAACATGCTGGATTCCCAGAAACTTGAGAACTTTTCCATAACTATTTATCATTTTCACTTTTAAATTGTTTGCTTCTACATAAATGTATAAATTACACCTTGCTACTTTTACTACTATTCTATTCATTGCTATTAATTACACAAACAAAGTATAGTTTGGCTGGAGGGTGTTTCTAAAAATGTGTAACCTCTGTATGACGCACATTTAAATCATCTCAGGCTCAGCTTTAGTTGAAGCTGTACTATTGTCAACCTCAGCAGTATGTTCGGATCCGAGCTCTGCTAAGTGACATTAAAGCAACTGACTTCTTCATCCAGTGATGGGTTGATTGAAGCTGTGGGGCCGGCAGAAATCATCAGCGCACAGTATTCAGAATCGTCCTTTGATAAAGTGATCGATGCTGCAGGAATGTGTGTCCTGCCTGGTGAGTATCGGCTCAGCAGACGTTTATATGCAAGTTGTGTTTTTCTTGGACTGTCTGTACAATATATCAGTGATTGGCTTTTAAAGAAGCTTCTTGTTTCAGGGTTGGTTGACGCCCACACCCATCCAGTCTGGGCAGGTGACAGGGTGCATGAATTTGCAATGAAGGTAATTCATGTTTAGTGTATTTTGACTTTTTTTAAAATCTACTTCCACAACTAAGATTGATGAAATGCATGTTACTCCTGCAGCTGGCCGGTGCCTCCTACATGGACGTGCACCGGGCCGGTGGAGGGATCCACTTCACCGTGGAGCACACTCGAGCTGCCGGGTCCTCGGAGCTGCTGGCCTCCCTCAGCGGCAGGCTGGTCCGGATGCAGCGAGCTGGTACGACCCTGGTGGAGTGTAAGAGCGGATACGGCCTGGAGCTGCAGACCGAGCTCAAGATGCTGGAGGTGATCGAGGAGGCCGGACGCACGCTGCCCATCAACATCTCCTCAACCTACTGCGGAGCCCACGCAGTGCCCAAGTATGGACCCTCCTCAACCCTTTTTAACTCACATCCTGATATTAATCTCTCTAACTAATCTGCTTTATTCAGAGGGAAAACAGTTGCAGAAGCCACGGAGGACATCCTGCAGGTTCAGCTGCCGAAGCTGAAAGAGCAGATGTCTGCCGGGACTCTGAGAGTCGACAACATCGACGTGTTCTGTGAGCGAGGAGTGTTTGACCTCAGCTCTACTCGCTCCATCCTGCAGGCCGGCAAAGACATGGGCCTCAACATCAACTTCCACGGAGATGAGCTTCATCCCATGAACTCTGCTCAGGTATCACTCACTCCTGAAGCTGTGTTTACATGTTAGCCGTTAGTGTAAAGCAATACTGTTCAACAACAACACCAGCAGCTACAGCTTGTGCAGCTTGTATAAAGATGAACCTTTAAGTTAACCTTTAAATCAACACCTCTGAACCAGTTTAGCATTAGATACATCTGTGTGTGTGTGTGTGTGTGTGTGTGTGTGTGTGTGTGTGTGTGTGTCTCAGTTGGGTGCAGAGCTCGGAGCCTCAGCCATCAGTCACCTGGAGGAGGTCACCGATGAGGGCATCGCTGCCATGGCCGCAGCAAGAACCGCCGCCGTCCTTCTACCAACCACAGCGTACATCCTACGGTATCATAACACGAGCGTTGGAATACAACCAAGTACTTTTGCAGTACTCAAGTACAAATTCATTGCTACCCAACAGTTTATACAGGAAGAGCTGAAACTTTTAAACTATTTATCAATAAGTCGATTGACAGAATATTAACTATTATTACTTTTACCTCAGTAAAAGGATCTGAATACTTCCTCCATCACTGTGTCTCACACACGGATGCTGTCACACCTCATAGAGTTATCTGATAATCTGTGTGTGTGTGTGTGTGTGTGTGTGTGTTCAGGCTGCCTCAGCCTCGGGCCAGAGACATGTTGGAAGCTGGAGTTATTGTCGCCCTCGGCAGCGACTTCAACCCCAACGCCTACTGCTGCTCCATGGTGAGTACCACAGGAGTGTTGCATGATGGTTCCAGCTCATGCCGACTCTCTACCTCCTCTGTGTTTCTGCCCTTCCTCAGCCGATCGTCATGCACCTGGCCTGTGTGAACATGAAGATGTCCATGCCTGAGGCGCTGGCTGCGGCCACCATCAACGCCGCCTACGCCCTGCGGCGCTCCGACACACACGGCTCCCTGGAGGTCAACAAACACGGAGACCTGCTGGTCCTCAACACCACACGGTGACGCTTTTGTCCCATCATGTGTTTCAGCGTCTCATTTTTATGATGATGCATGATAGATACATTTTATATTTAAATCAGCTACTATTATGAAGGAAAGGTATGGATCAAGTTATGATGACTATGTAAGGTTTATTTTATAAATACAGTAGCAAGCTTCCGAATGTCTTGTGAGTGTAACAGATCCTCTCCTGTTTGTCTTCTTGCAGATGGGAGCATCTGATCTACCAGCTGGGAGGACATCAGGAGCTGATTCGCTACGTCGTCATCAAAGGAAACGTCGTCGTTGATAATAACAAAACTATGGGTCTGTAACCAGAGGAGCGTTAGTGAAGGTGTTATCAATAATTCTGATAGACAGCTTCAAGATTTTAAGGCAATACTTTAATATTTGTGGACACCGGTAGACTAGCTGTCCAATTCCTAGAGTCTCCACTGGTTTCCTGGTCTGAGATCCACTGGGATCATTTTAGGAAGACATACCGTAATTCCCAAAAAACAGTTCCTTTAAATTCTGTTGTCTGTTGTTAAAGAATGTGACTGAAGACAATTAATCAATTACTATCTTAACAGTGTGAACAACTCCTCTAGAAACCAATGTTTTAGATAAATGTCCTGTTAACTTTTGATTAAAACCTGCCTCTATTCATCTCTGTTTCTGTAATTTATAGCAAATCATGCCTTTAATAAGTTAGTTTATCAGTGACTACAGCAAAGAGAGGAATTTCATTATCGCCTCAGAGACAGGTAAAATATTTGGTAGCTCAATTGATCAAACAGATTATTGATTGACATGATAATGTGTGAAATGACCTGGAGCTCACCCGCCTTCTATCTGTATAATCAAAGAGTAAAGATTGTAGGAGCTAAAGAAAACAAAAGGTAATGATGGCCAATGAGTTTAAACGCCTGAAACAAAACATTATCACATTTGTGAAGAGTGCTTTTATTGAATATGTTAGTACACAATGTTGTTTTCTAAATGGATCCATACATTACACATTAGTACACAGACATGGCTTTTAACAACCCCAGAAATATCTTCCTCACTCTTCCGCTTGTCAATGACAAAACACAAATATTTTATATAACATGCATTACATTGATGTTTTTCAAAAGCTGACTAATAAAAACTAGTTCAATAGATGGAAAAATAAAAACTGAGATAAAAGGCTGTAGTGGCACACATGATATCTGGCTTATTTTATTTACAATAAACTAAGTGATGTATTTCATGTAACCAGTTTGAAATGATAAATGACTGCGTTAACCCCGTCAGGCTTCATACTTCTTCCCCGCTCGGTGGATCTGTTGGTACAGCGTCATTGAGAAAGCCATCCCAAGGAGCTGGAAAAAGGAAACAAATCATGTTAAAAATAGAGCTGTTTGGAGAAGAGCAACATAAGAAAGGCCTGTCGCAATTATTACATCAGCTGGATCAACCTGCACTTGACGGGCAGACAGCAGGACTCCGGTGGGACGAGAGGAGGTGGACTCTGCGTTTTACATCATGATGCTCAAACATAGTCAAAGTTGATAGACAATGTTTGCCCAGAGAATTGTTTTTGTTGCTACGGTTTACATTCAGTATGATGACAATTGAGAAACTGCACTATAGGAATGTACTACTGTTTTTGTTTTGTTTGTAATGTTTGTTGTGTTGAAAATGGGTTAAATCTCAATTTCATTGTGCATCCCTGTGTTGCATAATGACAATAAATGATCCGCGAATTACTTTTTATAACTTTTTTCGACATGCTATACTATGACTTTTTATGACATGCTATACTATGACTTTTTATGACATGCTATACGAAGACTTTGTTCGACATGCCATACTATTTTTTCTTTGAAATGCTATACTATAAGTTTTTATGCCATGTCAAATTTGAATTTTTTCAGCCATTCAGCATATTGGATTATTTGATGTACTAACTATTTCATTATTTTAACCTTAAGTTGAACAAAAACATCAGCTAAATATATGTTAATTAACAAATAAATAAACTAGTGCTCTTTGAAAAAGTGTTTGGTCTCGAGCTGCTTACCTGTATTACCAATACACACATGGCAATGGTTCCCAGAAGGTGTTTGTTGTCATCCAGCCACTCCTCTACCTTCTCATAGCAACCCTGAAAACACACACCGACAGTAATTACGAAAAACAAGTACTGCACATCAGAAGGTCTTCAGGTTAAGTCCTAGATTCCATGACTCTTGCTTTAGGTGTTTTAATGTAAAGTTATACAGACAAACATTTTGATTCTGTTCACAAACTTTTAAAAAGTTTCACTGATGAGTTTTAAGGACTTGTTTGTCAAAAATTCAAATAAAATGAATAATACATTGAAACTGATTTAAAAGTGATGATCCATATAGATATATACATATATAGATACACACGTACATATATATATATATATATATATATAGAGAGAGAGAGAGATTACTTCACTCTGATGATTCATCATAAATATTTAAAACCCTCAGTTGTTCTTGTCCACTTTCAATGAAAAAGCACGTTATCGGTCAAAACTACAGCAATACATAATTCAAGTCAAGCATGAGGTTATATTGCCTTTTTCCTCGTCTATATATTCTAAACAGTTGGACTCAGTCAAGCTAGCTGCTTCCCCCCGTTTCCAGTTTCTATGCCGAGCGAAGATAATCTCCTGTTAGCGTCAGAGTGGCAACAATCAACTTCTGCAAGAAAGTAAATGAGCGTATTTCCCAAGATGCTGAACTAACCCTTTAGAGTTAACAGGACTCCAACTTTAATATCAACTTTGTAACCACAGAGCAGCACACTGACCCGTGTCCAGAAGGTATTGGAGGAGTTGCGTCCACATCCCGGGAAAACCTGCTGGCAGCAGCGGTCAGGAACCACGTTGTCATGCAGGGCTGTGTACCAGTCATTGTGGTTGATCACGCCACAGCATCGCCACTAGTGCACAGGCAGGTGAGAAGGTAGTTGCATAACTACATGAATTTAAAAAGCAGAGATTGAGAGGGATTTTTCGAAACTTGATTGGTAATATACCTCTCCCTGTATGGCATTCCATGCATCCCTCAGCCCGGCGTTGTTGTCTGTATTGTACAGCACCAGTCCTTCTTTCAGGTCCCGTCTGGCATTTTCGCTCACCTGGGCAAACACAGATGAAGCGGTGGATCATGGGACATATGGTCAGACTCAACTACAGCAGGAGAGCATCATCAATAAATATGAAAGTTCTTCTACACAGTGTTACCTTGTCGGTGTAGACAAAGAACAGGATGAGGAGGATGAGTTCGGCCAAGAGGATGATCAACAGAACGATGAAAAACTGGAGAAAACGAAGAAAAGTGTCAGATTAAAAGGCTTCAACATGAGAAGAGACATGCAGGATACACTAATGTTGCATTTATATCAATGGAAAACAAATAAATATAACTGTCCTACTTAAAAATACTAATTTCAGCTATAATATTCAGACAACATAACTTCTTCTAAGGTGCTCAAACATTTAATATTCAAACACAACATCACTAAAGAATATACTCAGACAACACCACTAGAGATGCATGATGGGTATTGTAGTATACTCACACTCAGCAGAAGGCACTTGTTCTCCTTGATGGCGCCCAGGCAACCCAGGAATCCCGTCACCATTACGATAGTGCCGAGGCTGATGATGAGGTTGGCGGCGGAGAGCGACGGGAAGGAGGGTGACAAGGTGGCGAAGCTGCCCTGAGACACCGACAACCACACGCCCACACCCAACAATCCACACCCACCCAGCTGAAAAACAAACAGTCAGGAAACTCAGACACTTCCTGTTGATTTAATGATAGTAAAGCTATTTAGTTGGTATGCTGATCTTACTACCGATTGATGGTAACAGTTTATGACACTGTGTGTGTGGAATAATTACCCAGAAGAGCAGGTTGAAGAGGAAGAGCATGTATTTAACGCAGCAGATGCAACCGCGAGCCATGACGGAGTCGAACAGGCACTGCAAGAAATTATTTTAAAAACATAAAAATGACAATATTACATTTTAAATTAAAGTCTAACTGAATGATTAAGTCTGTTACACTGGCAGTACATTCAAATATATTGTCATTGTCTGTAGGTCAGTCAAACCTTAGCGTTGTGCAGGGATAACGCTATAACTTAAAGCAAGATTTTAAGACAAATATTAACTGTTTTTATTTCTATTTTCTCTTATGATTCTTGACTTTTGCTTGTTCTTTCATCAGCTTTTCTCTTTCTATGTAGATTGTTATGCACCAAAATACCAACACAAGTTTGTCCTTTTCCATGTGAAACCTACAATAAATCTAATTCAGATTTTATGACATTATGCTACGTGAAAAATAATCCGGAAGTTAAACGAAATACCATTTTAACAACCTTTTTTAAGACCCGATGGCTGCTTTGAGTTCTAACCCGTTACAACGGCGGCACACTTTAACCTACATGTTTACAATGATTGTAAGATAGCACAACTAAACAGTCTTAGTTTGTGATAACACCTTGGACTACTGCATCAATACAACATAATTCCGATAGATAAGGTGCGAACAAAGCACAAGAGAATGGCATTGAAAATGTCATAAAACAATTATAGTATAGTACGTCACTAAAATGGTGATCAAAAAGACAAAATACATATGCTATAACAGCCATAGTATAGTAGTTTAGCTTATACTGTTTAGACATCACAGTATCAGTGGATTTGTACCTTACATTTATGCACGAGGACCAGATGCACTGTGTTTCGTGTTAGTAGCAAAAACGCTAATTTACAACACCTGTCCATGGGCTTTCTTTAAAAAAGACGGATACAAAATAAAATAGAAATAAATTTGAAAAGAAAAACATCCACAAAAGTATGTCCAGAAATACATCAATGGGCCAAAAACGTCAAGGTATAGTATGTCATAAGAAAATGGCATTAAAAAGTAATTGACAAAGTAATTTAGAAGTCAAAGAACATCATAAAGATGTCATGAAAATGTAATTTAAAAAAAAAAAAAAAAAAAAAAATCACAGAAAATTCATAGTATAGTTAATTATATAAAATGTCATAAACAATCAAAGTATAATACGTCGTAAAAAGTCATAGTAAAGCCATTGTACAGTATGTGACAGAAAATGTCATAATATAGTGAAAATGTAGTGAAAAAAATTATTAAAAGTCATAATATAGAATGTTATAAAGAAGTCATGGTAAAGTATGCCGTAGAAAATGTCAAAAAAGTTATAGTATACTGTGGCATAATAAGTCATCGTTATAAAAATATACCTTTCAATACTTTTTAAGTCCCTGTGGACACCCTGCATATTTAATCATGTTTTTTTTGGCAACTTATTTCATCTGTTGAAGGCTGTTTGTGTCACCATGATCTCAAACCAGACATCATAGTAGTTCACTAACCTCTTTGTTACATCACACTTACTGTAAACACACACACACACACACACACACACACACACACACACACACACACAGAGGAGATAAACTCACCACTTCAACTAGCAGGAGAACGGAGGAGCTCTAGTGGTCTACCTGCAACACACAAGTGTACACAAACATTTACACTTTAATGTATATTATGTACACGATACACCACAGACAGACACAACTCTTGTGTTTTAAGTATTTCTTTAGTTATACGTTTGGATTGGATGGATATGAGGTAATGCTCCTCGGTCACTCCACCACCAAAATCTTAAACACAGGCCTGGAAACTGACATAATACATAATAATAATTAAAATGCTGAACAAGTTTCAATCCTGTGTTCTTCTTCTTATTTTGGATTAGGACCAACGATGGTCTCTTTATTTTATGATTTCTGTGTCACACCAAACATCTGGCCCATCCCACATGAGATTATAAACCATGTCTATTTTAATAAACATTCATCTACCAGTAATACAAATAGAACTTACATTTAACAATAAACCTCTACAGAGAGACACTGATAATGACGTATGATAACAGAATGCATCGAGGATATGTTGGCCAATAAATAACAATAAAACAAAATAAATTGTTTGTTTACATTTTAAAAAACAAAGTATATATATATAATCATTTGTATAGATGCAGATATAACATATTTAAATGTCCACAAACTGTTTTTATTATTAGACATCAGTCTTTCTCCTCGTTCTCGACGTGACGTCACGTCACGTCACAGGACCGAAAGTTCAGTTTGCGTTTTTTTTCTCCAGAAGTTTGCGTTAAAAACACGCAAAAATAAGCCCTTTAATCAGCTGATTTTAACTTATGTTGCAACACAACACTTGTTTGTTTTACACAACTAAAAGTGTTCCGCTGAAGCCCGAGGCCGTGATTGTTTTCATGTCCCATGCGACGGGAAAGAAGAAAAATCTAGTTTTCCTACCGTTGGTTTATGAACTCATCTCCCCGCGAACGTCTCGAGATTCAGCCGCTGAAAAGGCTTCACATGCCGGCGTAGCTTCACAGCATCGCCCGGTGTTAAAACATTAATCCGACGGTCGTAAACGGCTGTTGAAATCGGCTTTGAAGTTTTCGTCGATGGCTGGAAGAGAACAGGAGGAGGAGGAGGAGGGTAACGTCTGCGGAGAGGGGCGGAGCACGGCGGGGGACGGACCCGGGATCGGAGGCGTGTCTGTCGGGGGTGAAGAGAGGGACCAGCAGGGCATAGACCCTGGCTGTTTTAAAAATAGGACGAATATTTGTGGAATTCTTGCTGAATCATACGGATTACTACAAATAATAATTTTGCATACAATATAGTCCAATGACTATGTACTAGTTCGAGGTACTTGTACTTGATCATATATTTTCATATTGCTTTATACTCCACTCTGCTCCACTACATCTCAGAGGTATATTGTACTTTTACTACATTTATCTGGCAGCTTTAGTTACTTTACAAATTAAGATTTACTGCTTTTCCTTTTCATTAATTGTAATTAACTTTTTAATAATTTGGACAAAACAAGCTTCGTGTCACTCTGGGCTCTGGTAATATTGTGATGACACATTATTTACTTAATTTAAGTAAAATGTCAGTACTTTTACTTAAGCAAAGGATCTGAATACTTCCTCTAACAGCTCCAATAAACCTCAATTATGGAAGACGAGGTTTAATTCATTAATTGATTAACCAAAAAATAAATCAAAATTATTAAAATAAAAATGAACCCTCACATTTGAGAAAGCTGGAACCATGAAATATTTTCATAAAAAACAATAAACGATTACCAAAATCGTTGCCGATTAATTTTTGATGAATCATTTCAGCTCTACTTGTATATAGTATCACATATACTGTATATATATATATATATATATAAACATGTCACACACGACTTGTACTGCACATCATCCACACACACATCCCAAAGTCAAAGAGGACTTTAATAAAGGTTCATCATTATAACATTAATATAAATACGTAACTCTGAACAGAAAATATCTCAAATAAAAATACAAAACATACAAAAAACATTAAAAGCAAGTTTCTCTTCCAGTTGCCGCCCTGGAGCCTCCATGGCATTAAAGCAGGAGTGCGTTTCCTGTGTATTCTAGGAGTAAAACTGTCCAGTTTTTTGCCAGCATAAAATATTTTCCAGTGACGTCTGTATTGGTGGCCCCCCCCACACACACACACACACACAATAAAGGGGAGGGGGCGGGGCGAAGGACACATAAGGAGGAGGGCAGTGATTGATATCGTCACTGACTGACTGTTCCTCCATTATTCTACTCGGTCCTCCCTCTCTGTTGGCATCCGTTTATCCCAGGACCCATCGATCACACTGGGAGGAGTTCAGCTGCACGGACTCGCAGCTCGCTCCACCCTCGTGCTGAAAGACACAGATATCAAAGACGTTAAATATAATTTCAGACAGACATTCATGGTTCCAAGAGGATGAATCCTAATGACTTTGGGGACCATGAGTTCCACAATTGCGATGTTTGAAGTGAAATGTCTCAACAACCATCAGAAGGATTGACATAAATGTTGGTTCCCCCTCAGGAATACATTTCAAACATCTTGTGTGTAGTTTTTGCTGTAGGGTTCCAACTGATTAGGCGATTAAAATCTGGGTGTAGAAATTAAATTTGAGAGAAAGTGAAGATATGTGAAGTAAAGTAAGCCATTACTTGAAAGAATCAGGCAGTGCATGCTCGGTCAACTTGCCTAAACAAAGCTTTTAATAAGTCAGAGTCACACCTTGTTAGCGATGGCCCGGAGTTTCCCCAGCAGGGAGGGTTTCTTGGTGTAGACCACGTCGTCGTCGGGTTCCTCCCCTTCAGCCAGAGCACAGCTGTCTGCAGCTGGAAGCTCACACTCCTTGTTGGCAGACATTACCAGACGAGAGTACTTGTACTCCAGTCTGAACACAGACCACAGGGACGCCGTCATCGAGGGACAACATGTTATTAGACAACATGCAGTGTGCAGGTGTTTAAAGGCAGATACTGAAACTATTTAAACAACGGAATAGCTGATATTTATGACAACAGTTGTGTGTTTTTATAAAAAAGAACTATACAAAGGTCACAAAAAGACTTCTCTTAAAATTAAGCAGTCTGTCGTCTCTTCTGTTTTGAAGATCACAGCCAAAAAAGCTGGCGTCAACCATTTAAAACCAAAGATTATATGATTTAAGTTAAAAAAAATAACTCAATGTTTCTGATTCTGTAAATAAAACGTGTCTACTTCTTGAAAGAATCCGAGCCTTTACTGTCGGTGACAGCTCTGCCTTCAAATAACAATTCAAAGTAATCTCAATGAGCGTGTTGGCCTTGACTGAGATTGGCAGTTGCCTCTAACCTCTTGTTTTTCTTCCAGAAATAGCAGGTGAGAGAGATGAGGAGCACGGCGATGAAGGCTCCGCCACCGACACCGACCTTCAGCAGCAGAGCGATGGCCTCACACGGAGAGGAGCTCCTGGGAGGCAGCGAGGCGCCTTTGGTGCACAGCTTTGGCTCGTTCCACATGTACAGAGTTTCCTGGAGAAAGTGGAGGGTGACAGATGGAGAATTAGAAATGTTTTGCTTGTGTTGTTTGGATTCTATGGTCTTAAGAACACTTTTATTCTAATTTTAAACGCAAAACACACGAACAAACCAACCATAGGAATCTTCTTTATTTCACCACCACGTTTCATCAGGGTTATTTGCTAATTTAGTCTATTTTTCTCAACTAAAAACACAATTTAGTTTTAATAAATGGCATTTTTATATGGTTTATTTCAATCATAAAGTTTTTATTTGTACTATTACATGAAACCTTTTAGAGTGCTTTCATAAAGCACAAAGAGGATTTTTGTTGTGTTTTCATCTGAGGGAATTATAATAATAGTTTAAACTGAATGATGCAGCAATATCCAGCCAAACTGAATCATTTACATGTGGAATCCTTTTGCTTTATTAAATCTTTAATCGTATTAAGTATTTCACCAATTCATACCTGCAAACTGAATTTGTGACACATTCCCTGGTTGGATTAGATTATAGGGTGATGTTACAGAATGAATGCAGGGAACATCAGGTGTGTTACCTGGACGCCTCCCTTGCACGCTCCCTCTATCCGGTGGTAGTCGTCTTCTGCGCAGCGCGGACAGCCGCTGGCGCTCTCCCACAAGAAGTGAAACGTACATCCGTCACACGTTCCCGCAGGACAGGAGCTGCAGAAACAGTAGTTTCTTTTCATTTTCTCACAGGATCCAATTTCTTATCGTCATATTATACATTTTAATATTGAACATTTTCACGTCATTTAGTATTTCCAAAGCCTGCATTGGAAAATATGTGTATTTGATTAATATTATACAGTTGGTTGTATCATGTTCACTCTCATTTTACCTAATTTTGGCAGAAATTGAAACATCATCTCATACATAGAGTACACTATAACCTACCTGGGCACAGAGAGCTCTCCTCGTTCAGACTTCTCGGGGTTACAGCGAACAGTAATGACTGAACTGCGACCCTGATCGCATGCCTGCGTTGACCTGAAAGAAAATAGCGACACAGTTAACAAATAACAACAACACTCACTCACTCTGCCTTCTGTTTATTTATTGTACCTGTAGAAGAAGTTGATGTCTGGAACATGCTTTGATTTTTCTGGAAAAAGATCTGGTTTAGCGTCCACATAATCCAGGACTGAGTCAACTGTTGCTCCTGGAGAGAAACACAGATGAGGATATGAAAGGCAACATCACGAGCTAATGATCACAGAGCCGCATGCTGTCATTTAACAAGCGTCGTACCGATGAACGTGTCTGCAAGGCTGATGGACTGGGAGGAAATGGCCATCCTGAAACCCCGCCCATCCGCCGGGATGATGGTTGACTGACAGATGAAGCTGTCCACTGAGTTGACCAGCTGAGCCGAGTCGCTCTGGTCGTCCTTGCTGGACACGTCGGTGACGTTATCTGTGCAGGCAGCGGCTCTCTTCCCCTGCAGCAGACATGATAGCATGAAAAATGATCAAATAATCAAAATACATCTAGCGTCTAGCTTTCATATAAGACAGCTAACCGTGGGCAACAACAGAATGAGTCTCCTATAAGATCACCAACTCTACACGCAAACGAAAATAAGAAAGGTCACAATTCAAAAACAGGGTAAGATCTAAAGAATATCGTATAAAGAATGAGAGGAGACAGATCTGTGTGAAGTACCTCGTGGCCACACAGGCTAATGTTGAACAGATGAAGGTACTTTGTGCCTTTAGAGGTGAAACTCGGCCCGATGGTCAGCGAGGCCACGTCGCTCAGGGGGCTGAGGTCAAAGGTCAGTGTACGGTTGTTCTCTGTGTGGGAGAAGGAGCAGTCGCTGTAACAACGAGAGTGTTCCTGAAAGAAAAGACACAACACATGAACTCTCAACCACTAGTCAGAAACGCAACTGTAATTTACAGGAAGGTTTTAGTAAGTTAACATGTTTTTTGTCTTTCTAGACCCCTATTTGACAAAAGCTTGCCTGTAGCACAGAGTCAGATTCGCAAACTTCTTCACTAATGCTTGGATCAGATTGTTCCTGAATTAAATTTAGGTAATTTTTTGTTTCTTTTCTTGAGTCAAAGTGCGTTTGCTGCTGCTTGTGCATTGACAACATTTTAATATCAGCACCAAAACTCAGCACTAGTAAGAAAAAACCCAGAGGACGCTACCTTGTTGCTAATACTTCCAGCCCCACAGGCGACACATGCATCCTGGCCGTAGGTGTGGCGCCCTGCCAGGTGCGTGTTGGGCGGACACTCCTGGCACCGGTTGGTGCTTGTGTCGATATAAAAACCGGCAGGGCAGGGGACGCAGGAGGAGCCGGCTTGCTGGGAGTTCTGGGGTACCAGAGCGCAGGCCCGACATGCTGACGCAACCCCATCCAGGACGTTTGTCACGCTGATGGAGTACAGCTTCACCATGTCACTGACATAACGACGCACCTGTAAACAATACAGAGGATATGTCACATAATATATTTACACCTTCATAAATAAAATGATCTTTTAAAGCAGAGAATGAAACCTACAGATATTACATTAAAGGGAAGACGGTGCTTTATGTGTGGGAGTTTGCTTACGTCCAGAGCATGGTTAGTCCTCTGGAAGGCCCATGTGAATGTGACAGACGAGTTCCTGGACATGCTGTGCGAGTACGACTGTTTCTCCTTGTTGCCTTCCCAGGACTCCACCACTGTGGTGCTCTTCCTGTTCACATCCTGCAGGGGGCAACAAATATGCAGAGCAGTGTAATAAACTGGAGAAACTAAACATGTCGGGTGAAATCAGACACCAAATGACTACCTTTCTGCTCCAAACACACAATCAAAGCACACACCATCATGAAGTAGAGCTCACAGTCTCCAGAGCAGATGGTCTCGAACACAAAGGTTATCCAGCCAAACTCACTGCCCGTCATCCCCGAAAGTGAGGCTGGGACCCTGTCACCAAAAACACAAACAAAGGCAGAGATTTAGATGATAAAGACACAGAAATATGGTATTGTTAAGTGGATTTTATACGGCAATTATTCCTAAAAAAAACAGCTCTCTTGATTTTCTCTTTCTGTCTGGTCCGAATTTGGATAAAAAGATCAAATTCGGACACAAAAACAACCAGATCTCCGGAGAAAGAAAGCACACATACTTACTTGAAGCCAGGCACATGCAGGCTGAGGATGAGGTAGTCGTTATCTGAACTGCCTGCTCCGCTGCGAATGTGGTCCCCTGCAACCGCCCATCCTGATGAACCACCGACAGGATGCACACACACATTATACCCAAGATCGAGAATTAACTTTGAACTTCAGGCAGTTGAACAGTTAGTAGATAGTTGGTAGTTAGCAGTTAGTAGAATGTTTTCTATTTATTTATTATTTATAGGTAATGAGTACTACGTTACTTTAGTAGTTGGTTATGTAGATGTTAGTAGTTAATAGATAGTTGTAAGGTAGTTAGTAGAGTAGTCAGAGATTTAGTTAGTCAGTAGGTAGTTGGTAGTTTTAGTTAGTTAGTTAGATATTAGGTTGTTAGTAAGTAGGTAGTTATAGTTAGTTAGTTAGTTAGTTAGTGCCTCAGTAACATCTTGGGAGTCATAGTGCTCACCATTCATGTCGTCACATTTGGAGTCGCCCACATTGAAACAGGAAGTCTTCATGTTGGAGGGTAGCACGTTCCACCATTTATACTCGTAACCCAACACTGGCTCTGTACCTGCAGGACACTCAGTGCACACTGTTGTACGTACAACACACACACACACACACACACACACACACACACACACACACACACA